TAGGCTTAAAAATACATGACAAAGAGGTCAAAATAACAGGATAAGTATGCCAGCCTTGAGTGAATCCTCCAGAATAATATTTTACATGTATCTTCCCATTGGATACGAAAATACATTATGCTGACTAAAGTCAAAATAACTTCGAAAAATTAGCAACACATAGACAAAGACATTGTACCAGTCAGTCACGCAGCGTTTGAATTTTGATTTCAAGAGTGAAAGAATCATTACATTTATTGACATCGTTTTCCAAAATGTTTAAAACGAATCTCTGGCTATTTTCAGTGATATGCGAGTTTTTTTATATTATCCTGTAATCTTTCTTTCCTTCCTAAATATTGTTTTGCAGAGACTTGATCGATTTCTAGTCAGACCACACATGAACATTAGTTAGACAGTGGTTAGAGACCAAGGAGTACTGAACAGATGTCTTGACCTATTTGGTGATTTCATAACAGCTGCCACCGCTGACTCTTCCGGAGATCGAAATCAGGACGCTCAAGTTTCAAACTGAACTCGTTAACCAATGAGCTACTGAAGAGGAATCCGTCTAGCTCATCACTTCTAAATTCTGTTGACTTGCAATATGATGCAACATACATCAGTGAACGAAATATTTCCATATTGAGTCATAAGAAAAAGGTTTAAACAGCGAAAAAAATTTTTTTTCGACGATTCATTTTCATGAGCTGTACAATCGTAATTATATTTAACGAAGAAATTTTAGACCAATCAGATACTGGTAAACTTTTTCCTTGAAAAATGCATTACATAATATAAGGTGTAAGAAGGGATGACTAATTGTAAGTTAGAAAGAGACAGAAGTTGGCATGACCCAATAAGTCTGAGATAATGACTAATCAATAAGCTCATGTGGAATGGATAGGGACTAGTGGAAAGGCAATAAAGTGTTTTAACATAGAATCTGTATGACAAAGCAACGTTATTAATAAACAGTAATAGAGCAATAATAGAATATGGATGATGGGAATAATAATGACAATCAAATAATAATGATAATAACAATAAGCTTATGTAATAAAAAGAAGCAAAATTATAATAGAAAACCTACTTTGGCCACTGTAGGGCTATAGAATGTATGTATCACTTTTGAATGCAGAGGTCCAGTTTCAGACGCCGAATAGGTAATGCTTCAGCTATGTGCAGATGGTGTATCCGAAGTCTCTTTGTACGATATTTAGGGATTCTGTGTGGCACCGTAAAGCACTCAATGTCCAAGATGGCAAGGTGTCCGAGGGTAGAGCTGCTGTTATTCTTCTTTTCTCCTCTGACTAATCAAGCTGTATAGTGTTCCAGAATACGTTTGTGGACTTGACGTTGCGTACGGTTGACATACTTTGCTCCACACGAGCAAGTAAATTGATAAATACACACTGAAGTTCCCAAAAGCAGTACCTTATCATTAACGTTAGACTGGATTAACTGTCTGCTAGGGAAATGTGATATGTATGGTGGTTGTTGGATATATCTTCTTCATACATTCAGACATTAATCAGCACAACCAGCCAGTGTCAATGGCAGCTATCTGTTTTTCTACACCAGACTTCATAGAACCAATTGGTTATGACTTCTCACTGGAATTCCATCTATTCCTTCATGTAGTCGGTCACTAAAGAACAGCAGATTACTTTTCAAGAGTTGGTTTGTAGGAACTTGATTGACTTACAGATAGATAACTAACTATCATCATTTAGAGAATCAGTGAACTAGTGAACCATTAAATTACATTTCAGCGGCTTAATTGTCAATGGCCTCGATTTTCAAACTCAATGTTCTACTTTCAACCTCGTGTAAGCCCATGGATGAACATTACTGAAGAGTCCCAAAGTAGGTCAAAACACATATCCCCAGTTTTGAATGCCCCTCTTTTTTATATATGCATTTCTGAAAACATGTATTACCAGCATTAGTCTATAAAGCGCATAATTTGTTTCTGAATAACCATAGTGACTCTGCTATTTCGATATTAAAAAAAAAGAAAGTAATACCACGATATGGACAATAGACACGGAAACTTCAGTATAACTTATTGATCAATCCCACAATGTAATATCAACATTTTTTAGAGTAGAAGATTGTTTAGAAATACTAAAGTATGTTGTTCAATGTGTCACCATATCAGACATTTATGTGGGTTATACAAAAAGAGAAACAACAAAAAAGACTGATTTTATCACTGTCTCTTTCTCTGTCTACATTTTAAGTTAAACTCTAATATCGACTGAAATCATTTTAAAGTTTAGATTAAGAGAAAATGTACACCTTGCTTAAGAAGAAAAAACTTGAAGTATTGCATTTAGTCAGTAAGTAGTATTAACCGGATGATACATTTCCTTCTAACTGTATCCCTGTGTTCCTATGATACTGTAACAACAGAAGACAAGCGCCACGCAACAGATCGTTTACTAAGGAAAATGAACACATATTTATAGATTTTCATGTACATTATTATAGATTATTGTTAACAGAAAAACACAGTCTTCTAATTGGTTGTTTCTCACAGAAAGTTAACCTTGCATCGCTTTTGTGACTGTTTCTTGAATATCAGATCATCTATATGTTAACTGTATCCACCTATGCAAAGCCACTGTTCTCATTTTTCTCACGGCAAATATTGGGGACGTCAAAATTGACGTAAATTACTGCCCACTAACAGCCAGATCTCACCACACTAGTATATCATATGTAAAGGAGACATCAACTACCAATTAGTGTCTGACTTTGGTGTTCTTTAAGAAGAGTTCATACCAGTTCACTAAGGTTACACTTCACAGAAATTCGTTTTTTCATGATATTCTAATCTTTATTTGTCTTATAAAACAGTCAATCCATGAAGGTTATTCACAGCTCTAGGTATTTAAAGTGACTTTTAACACTTTTATAAGCAAGACGATCAAAACCCAACAAACTCGGAGAAGAGACAGAGAAGACAGGACTTCAGGTGGATATAGAGGAGACGTAGGTGACGAAGATGTCCGGCAGACAACAGCAAACACGTATCACCATCAAGTGGCCAGAGTCATTTCAGCTGCAAATGGTATGGATGAAGATATCGATGCCAACTTGAATCATCAAATCGAGACAAGTGTTCATTTTTCTGAAATGTGTGTAGAGATCTACAATATTTATCATAATTAACGGGATCTCAGTTTTCAAAAGTAATGCCACATGATTGAACATCCCCCTATATGATCATCAAAAGGTGAAATCTGACTAACCAAAAGCTCAGTTCTTTAGCACTTTGTTCTTACAAATCATTCTGCATCAACAGAAAAGTCTTTCAAAGTGATATGTAAGGTAAGATCAAGTTGTTTGAAGCGTTTCCGGTTAAGTGTTCTGTCCACAGGAGAAGCCCGTTGTCATACACAGGGAAAATTCTGAAGTGTGTATAAAGAAGTGATATATGCATTCCTTTTCACTACTGTGGCCATAAAATTACCTATCTTTAGCCCACACAGTAACCTGGCATGTAATCCCTATTCAATGAGCGTTTTTTTATTCTCGCCTGATTTCTTCCTTACAAACTCCTAACTTTGAATTAAATTTTACAAGTATTCTGAATCACTCACCCTTTTGAACAATGTTTGTCTTTCCAAGTTCTTGTCATTTTTAATTTTTTTTTAATAGGCAACATTTCTGAGCCATGCTCATTACTTAATATATTATTTTGCTTCATAATATAAGTTTTAATTAATTTAATTTAATTTGGATTACAGCTTGATTCCACACTGTATTTTTGGTACAAGTATGGAATTTTCAGCATGTAATATCGGTAGCCCAAATTTCGCAGGCCGATCATAGATATCGGGTGTGCGTCAGCAGGGGCTCGAACCTCGGACCATGTGCATGGTCGGCAAGAGTCCTAACCACTGTGCCACCGATGCACATATACGTTCATATACTTTTGTAGCAACTGATATGATCCTTTACAACACTGTATAACTCTACAGTTTTGAAGTGAAATTATCAAGGGAATACTCTATATACTGTACCAATTCTATGTGTATTTACAAATTCAGCTGCTCCTGTGGAGGAAGTTATACAGGGTGAACAACTAGACAGCTAAACAAACAAGTTACTGAGCATCTTCCTCCATGGTTCAGAAAAGGTCAAGTAAAATATATAAGAAGTTCTGTTTTGTCTCACTTCATTGGTAGCGGTCACAAAGTAAACAGAAGAAGTGTCTTCAAAGTTATCTATCGCATTCCATCAAACTTTTCGAACGGAATTCATACCGGCCTCTTGCACATAGCTGAAGCTATGGGAATTCGAGACAACAATCCAAGTCTTTGAATACAACAACAGAAGTTTGTTCTACTTTTGTCTCTCCCTTGCTTCGCCTAGGTAAACTTTAATTAAAACCCTCCCACACACTTTGGTATTTCCCATTTCCTCCGTACTTTTACGATACTTATATAAACTCTGAAAATCTGTCCACTTCACTTTCATTATTACGTAACTTTTAAGATTAGACATAATTTATTGAATTGTCTACACACATATATTATTGTGGTGAGAGCAGGCTACTAGCTAAATTGGTAGACAGTAATTTACGTCAATTTTGACATCCCCAATATCGGTCGTGAGAAAAGTAAAAACAAAGACTGATTCAACAGCCAACCACAGCAGACTTTGCGTGGGCGGATACAGTTAGCATATAGATGATATGACATTCAAGAAACAGCCACAAAAAGATGAAAGATTAACGTTCAACGAGAAACAACCAATCAGAAGACTGTGTTCCTTTGCTTATAACAATCTATACTAATGTACGTAAAAATCTATGATTATGTGTTGATTACCATAATAAACGATCTGCTGCCTGGCCCTTCTCTTCTGTTGTTACATTACTACCTTCACTATTCTTGTCGGCATCTATCTGCATAAACGTTATTATCAATACTTTTGTTAGCATTTCAATCATTGTTATTACTTACATTCGGAACACTTAACACTTTATTCTTACTATTGTTATAATATGATCCACGAACTCACCGTCATTGGTTAGAGTTTTTTCACATATAAAGCTGTGTAAATTAAAGTAAAGCCTGAAGAAGACATTATTGGAAACAGTACTGTTAGCCTGTATTTCTTGTTCTAAGGCTGACAATGTTGATATTTAAAGATTCTATAAGGTTTAGAGACTTGCTAACCGCATTGCCGAATGCATTTCCAATAGTGTTAAATCATACCTGTTGTACTAGAGATGGTTCTCATGGCACAATAGTCTAACGAACAACTCACCTGCTTGATTCGAGTCTCATGAAGGGGGCAGAGGGAGGAGGAGCAATGTTATTCACTCATTATGAGGCTGATGAGTCGCAAACAGGACGAATCGCACATCCTATTGTTCTACTACGAGCCACCTAGAGAAAGAAGCACATAACTTCGAGATTAAATAAATACATATAATAATTCTTCTTATTTTTCATACACAAAATGCAATTACATAATATTTCAAACGAAAACAAGTACACACCATAAAGATAGAGAGGAGAATAAGTTAAGCCTAAATAGTTTCACAGCAAAAATCTTTCTGACTTAATACACATATGTACTTGTATAAAAACAACGATTAGACAAACAGTGTTTAGCATCAACTTATGAGTAGAACTTGCAGAATACATTTTGTTTTCTTATTGCTTCGAAAGGAAAAGAAAAACACAAAGTTGTTTTAAATAAGAGAAACCAACGATCACAACCACAACAGCAATCGCGGCCATGATCACGAAGACACAAGACAATAAGAACTTGATTTAATCTGTTGTTGTTGTTGTTGTTGTTATTATTGTGACTGTTGTTCATTGTGTTCGAAAGATGATGACAGATTTCCCTTGAAATTCAAAATAACTAAAGTATCCATCCATATGACAAACGTAACTGAAAGGTAAGAAAATGAGTGAGCAGGTAAAAAATATAATTAGTGAATTTTATCTGTACCTTTTAAAAAAAACAGCTCATACTGCTGTTACTACTTATTATCCCTTATTAGTAGCTTAGGACTGCACCAAGGATAAAGGTGCGTGTATTAGGAACCTAATGCTGTAAAGATGACCAGCTATGCAGGTGGTTTGGGCTGCGATACACTCCAATGCACTGTGTATTATTCTAGGCGGCTGTTTGCCGGGAAAATGAAGGGGCAAAGATAAACAATAGCGTCCTAGGAGTGCAAACGCTCCAATGACCCTGAACACATGCTAGTCACCTGTTAACAGCACCTGTCGTTATCACAATCGGAATATCAACGCTTTTCACCAGCTAAGCAGCAAATTTCACCCAGATCATGTTTTTAAGTATTTTTTGGACAATGTGTTAATCGCTCGTTAGGGTTAGGTTTACGGTAGGATAAGGGTTTTAATTAGGGTTACGATAAGCGATAGATTAAAAGTTGATGTCATTTATTTAAATTTGTTTTATTATTCACATTTTCCTCACAATTAGTCGTCGATCTTCTTACTGGAAGCTACAGTAATGGAACCGTTAGCTCTTCTGAAAGTCTGCACAACAGGATAAGAGAGATTAATGATTCACAAAAGCAGCTCATCTTCAGTCACCTCGGTGAATACATGCGCAGAAACTAGTCTTACTTAGCAATCGATACTCCGCATTATAACTGGGACGTATTTTTATGTCATGTCAGAGAAAGATAACCTGTTTAATGTGATTTCATACATTTTCTTGTAAATATACGTCAGTTTTCTCGCAGAAATCCCTCATTTTTACGATTGATCGGCTGAAGGTCACTCGTGCGTCCGCATAACTTGGGACGCTGTTGTTGGACTTTGCCAAAAAAGGGAAATCGGTGTGAGGCTAATAACGTCACTACCACTGCTATTGAAACTTTAAAAGCAAAAACTCAGAATGCAAACAGTTAAAAATCAAATTCTAGTGACAATAATTCAGAGCACACTTTATCACTGGATACTTCATTATCTTTGAATGAGACTGATGTTAGCAAATCAGGTTTTATTACTATCATCACTGACTAATAAGCAAAATCGTACCCATTCGCACCCTACTTGAGATTTAATTAATCCACCTATATCAGACGGGATAGCAATGCATACCTTGCTTATGAAGCTGGTAGGTTAGTTTAAAGATTTATTGAAAGAAATCAGTCACTTGTCGCTGACAAAACTTTTAACAGTCATAATATGCATTAGCTGTAATTCAAAATGGAAATTGTCCTCAGTATATAGATAATGTTGATTTCTTTAAAGGCAGTTGATTAAAAAGTAACGAGAAATTTGTACAGATATCTTATAAGGTAAATGAATTAAACAAACTAGAATGAGCTTCTTTTGAAAACATAACTTTGGATTCCCCTATGCATATGTTGTAAATGATTGTGAACATTGAACGTTGGTTCATTAGCCTTGGTCGCTATTGGCGTGCAACTCGAAGGCGCGAATGATTCAATCGTGTACACTTTGGAAGAAGACGAAGGCATACGAATAAAAGTACAATACATTCCTTGTAAAACATTTGTTTATAGACTTTGTAACGATATTGAAGTTAACTGCCGAAGAATATAATTTCTTATTGGTCCTTGTGTTTTGGAGTTAAAGTCGATAATCTTTCATAGAAATTATCGATTCGGAGCACTTTCGCAAGTAATAGGAACTTAGGGTTAAGTTTCTTGACATATGTCATGGTCTTCTGTAGTACGAAGAAGCTAGTAATACACTAGTATCAGCAGATTACTTTATCTTTCTACATGACTATGGATTTTAAGTCAGTTGATAACGCGGAATTTGATTGAAGCACTTCTTAGTAGACCAGTGTCACGTCTTTTCAGTTATCCTGTATAGTTTTCTCTAGTACCTTTTTAAAAGATGCTTAGAGAATGACCTATATATCCAGTAGTGAAGTGATACACGCCTCCTGAAGTGGTGTTTCAAATTATCTGAAAGCAGAAGTTGCCTATAGGATACCAGCCCCACGGTTCCTACAGATAAAGTCTTCTTTTGATAAAGAAGCCATTGAAAAGGCATCTTCTCAAGAATTCCTTGTTTATACTCTCCAAAGTACGTTACATTCACACAGATTTTCATTAATTGAAGTAAGAGATCTAACTGTTAGTTGGTAATCAGCTGTGTGTGCGCGTGTGCCGTATCAAATGATAAATATTCTATCTAAATAATATAATATGCACATTTTCACAGCTTCGTTCCTATCAAGTATAAAAGAAATTTAGTGAAGACCCTCAGCCACAAAGTTAGAGCTATATGCTCAGAAGAAGTAACTGAAGATGAATTAAGCATTCTATATGATACTTTGATCTAAAACAGCTATCCCGAAAAATTTATCAAGAAACACATGACAAAGAAAACAGAAAAGGACTACTCACTATCCGTAAACAAGAAGCCTCTTTATATACGATTACAATTCATGGGCGATATACCAAGCGCGATAATTGCAAAGAAATTAAGAAGATCAGTTCAAAGGACTTCTAATGTTGGCGAACTACACGTACTATTCTCCACACGACCGATGGTGATTCCTCGACTAAAAGATGAGGTATCTAGACTAGCTGGCCACTTCCAATTGTATCTACCAATTCAACTGCGCTGATGGTGGAGCGAGTTATATTGGCCGTTGCTCTGGGAACTTGATTTTTCGTGCTCGAGAATATCTCCCACTATGGCTAAGTAAAGGTGTAGTGAAAACCATCAACAGTTCGATATTGGACCATCTAGTGCAAACCGGCCCCAAAACCAGCATAGAAGAATCCTTCTCTGTAATCTACCAGGTGCCTAATAAATTGCCTAAATCATCGAAGCACCGCATGCTCCAAACATCAGAGGCTATTGTAATTCGCCTCAAACAACCAGTGCTCTGTGTTCAAAAGAAGCAAGTTCAGCCCCTACAACTGCTCTCACCAGTCTTCAGTAGAGACTACAAATTCATGAATTTGTAATATCATCCTTCCTAATTCTTCTGACGTTCAGCTTATTTTATGTTGATGCGATTCAGCTGTAATCTATCAATATTATTGATTTGATGTTATTTAAACATCATTGTCGTTCACAACACTAATTCATTCATTCATTCACTATAATGTATATATAAATGTAGAGCCTGATGAAGAACAGGTTATCGAAAAAGAGTACTCTTTGTTCAGTATCAATTCTTTTGAAAATTTTAATGGACATTTTTAATCAGTTAAATAATATAAGTAATATATGAAGACATAATAAACTTTTCACTGAGTAAATAAAAATAGCAGCAAGTTAAAGGAGTTGTTTAGGGTTAAAGTAGTTAGTACGAATCTTTCTGCAACTATATTTTTTTCTATTAGACATGCAACTACCATCAGTAGAATGTCAAGTCCCATTGGTTAGCCACACATTTCTCAGGTTCATCATTATTATTTTTAGTAAATAAAAGTTTGTTTTCTAATACATTTTTTACATCTTTAATTATTAGAGATGTGCGTCAGTGGTTCAGTGTTAAAACACTAGCGAACCAACAACATCATCTGAATATGATTACCGGCTGACTCATTTGAAAACTTGGCCTAATTCACTAGCTAATGGTCAGCTTGGAAAAAAGGAAGGTTTCGTGGGTTTGGTTAAAAACCCTTCACGCGTAGAAACATCACTACCGCTAATAAAACTCTAAAAGCTAACAGCTTGCATTAATATATGTGTAAAACTTGGACACTGTAGTATTAAGTAATTCCAAATTACACAGTTTTTGTTCAGCGAAGAAATTTCTTTTCAACGACTTCATTTTCAGCTGTACAGGCAACACTCGACATTTTTGTTATAGAACAATCTTTAATATTTTTGTAATTAAGTATGCTGATGACCTGACCGTTTCTGTCCCTGTAGTTGCCACATCGGATTGTTCCTATATAAATGGCTTCCTAGCTGAAGTTAAGGATTGGTCTCGCTCAAATGGTCTTAAACTAAATCCAACTAAATGTAACACTGTTGATTTCAGCTTGAGAAGTGAAAAAGACATGCATAGATTGATTCAATCTCATGATTGTAGTAATATTGATGGTACCATGATTGAGAGTAAGTCAAGTGTTTGTTATCTTGGCATTAGTTTCTCGTCAAATCTTTGCTGGTCGTCTCATATTCTTATAGTTTCTAAGAAAGTTTTCCGTCTGCTTTATTACATAAAGAAGTTGAGACACTCAGGTATAACTCAATCTCTTATCATACAATTTATTAATTCATGTGTTTTGCCCATCATTCTTTATTGTTCTCCATTATTCTTCCCTGGGCTACTCAAGAAAGATCATATAATACTACGAAGAACATTGAGGGCTGTAAGTAGGGTCAGTGCTATCCCTTTGACTGAACTAAATGACACTGTTGTCAATAGGCATATGAATTCTTGTAAACACTTAGCTAAAGTTATCTTATCTGATAGTGAACATCCTCTTTATTCACAATTGTTTCCTTGTATCTCTTCGGGTAAGACCAGAAGAAATTTTATAAACATTTATGCTCGTACTACAAAATATAAAAATTCCACCGTTCCATATTTGGCACGAGTATTGTGTGAAGAGACAAATATCAGAAAAGAACTTTTACAACTTTTGAATCAATAACTAAAATATAAAATGAAATGATGCATATTAATGCATGTGTTATTTGTTATATTATTTATTTATTATTCACTATGACCTAGAAATGGTATGATTTTGTTGGGTTTTTTATTTTTATTTATTTTTTTATTATTTTTTCCTATTAACTATCAATATTTTAACATTTTATATATTAATATAATTATAAACAGAGCTAAACCATTGCAATATGTAAAAGAAACGCTGAAAATTCCATGCTGTAAAATTTTATTGTTGTGGAATAAAGTGATTATTACTATTATTATTAATTTATCCACTTCAACTCTACCCCTTAAAA